TACATTTCTTGTTACATTGATCCTACAACAGCAGAGACTAAATTTAAACTTCAGGAAGATAGCAGGGAAACAATATAGAGAAAGAGAACAATGAGCAGTCCAAAAATGTCATTTTTCATAGGAAATAATGGAAATTTTAAATTATTAATACTACCTTGGAAACTCGAAGAGAAGTTTTACTTGTAAATAAAAGCTGTAGTTGAGAACAATAACATACAACCTTTAATGAGTATATTCTTTTAAACACATCTCAGCCGGGCAACAAGTAGAATAACTTAGCGGCTGGTTTAACTCATACCACTCAAAGGGTTTGCTACAGAAGAAAAACAATTCTGAAATTTTTATGATAATTACAGCTTGGTGTCACGGACTTTGCTGGAATTGCCTAAGTCGTGAGGCACCCTTGCAGCATAGTCACGGACTTAGCTTGAGTTGCCTAAGTCGTGAAGCACCCTTACGATATGGATCCGCAAAGGATCAGCCAATTTGCAACCTTACTCAGATCCCAAAAAACCTGTAAAAGAGAAAGTTGATTAGTTCGAAAACAAGCGACAGACAAGTCTCGACATCTCGCAAAGAGGGAAGCTTTACAAGCAATTCAGCGAGCACCTTGTGTGCATGAGAGAAAAGAGAGGAAGGAGAAAAACAAGGACTTTAGAAGGTTGAACGAACAGTTGTAAGTTTACAAACAACTGCTCACCGGGTGTCGGGGGCGAAGGCAAGTTCCCATCAAGTTAACGTGAGAACTTGTAAAGATTGTTCAACGCTCGACACTATACCGAAGCCCTATCCCCCATGGTGCCACCCGAGTGGTTCCAAGGTGCTGAGATGGATGACATTTCGCGTGCAGCAACGGTCTGTAGAAAACAGGCCATGACACGGAAAAACGGAGCCATTTTGGGGCTGTTTTGCCCAGCGCGGCGAGCGGTCGCACTGTAGCGCTACAACCTGTTCAAACTTACATTTTTACAAGCAAAAACACATAAAACCAAAGCAAAACATGCTGCCAAGCATCTGTACATATATGCAAAAACGACGAACGGTTCGTTGAACGAAGTTGTTGCGGGTGCGCGACGACCGTTCGTGACATTGGTCTAGGGTAAAACAACTTGCTATTTTGCAAGGTCAATAAACAGGGGTGAATCAAGTCATCCAGGTTGTTTGTCTCAAATTTCATCAGCAATTTGGCTTAATCTCTGACTGAATAAAAATAATGGACTCAGTATTGTGCTCATGGAGATTAGTAAAAGTAGTTGTTCCTCATAAATATCTTATAGATAAACGGGATCATTGAGTAAGAGAAAAAGGAAGAACAAAGTGCAACTTACATATTGATAGGTATTTGTTAAACTTACATGTATTAAATAAGATAAACAGTATAAATCATGCATGATTCTTGGTAGGTCTAAAATGACTGGATAATTAAGCAAAAAAAATTTATACAAGCTATATAGTTTTTGCTACTTATTCCCTGTGCCTTTCCTAACCTCTGCAAGCACTTGGACAGCTAGCACTGTCCAATCTAAAGACAATACAGATCATGGACTGTGGTCAAATCTCTCAATAACCAAAGTGGATATCACAAGCATAACTGTTAAATAATTTAAGCAATAAAAAAACAGTTCCTTGAAAATGATGGCTGAATCATGACACAAGCACCTTGTCATTCAACTATTGATTCTTAAGAAACTAACAGAATCCACAAGTGGATTTCCTATTAGTCAGATCGACAAAGTCAAGACTGACACAGTTTCCTTTATGCAAATCACACTATTTAGTTTCCTCAAAGCTGTTCAACCAAGAGAATGACAAAAATAACATATTACCACATTTCAGTTATGGTTTCATGTTGTACACATAATCATCATGATTTGGCACAATTTGTAGTTCAACGTAAAGCAGAATATTTTTTAGGAGGATGAAGATGCAAGGCCTGAAGATGAAAATGTAGCCAAGCTTCTTTCATATGTCATATTTGAGTTTGTATGCTGTTGCTTATCTAATAAATTTGAATGTGCTTTCTTATAAGTCTGGTTGATGCATTGCACAGAGATCAAAATGATCAAAGAAGACATATCCATTGAAAATGACATTTGTGTATACAGCTTTGAGTGCTTCCAAGGTAAAGCTTTTTATTTGTAAGTGGGCTGGTGGCTACAATTAACCTATTGGTCTACGACAAGGGAGTAGAGTTCGCAAGGTTAATTTTTAATGGGGCAGAGGAGAGGATATGTGATAAAGAAGGAAGTGTAGAAAGCCTAAAGTGGCCAGCTTGGCCTTAAAGCAAGAAACAAATAACCCTATTGCCCATTTTTGTTCCATCAATCCGCTAATTATGCTATCAATTAGTAAAAATCTAAAGAGTGATGGATGAAAACAACATTAAGATGCTTCTTCAAATTGCACTAAACAACATATATGGGAATGAAACTAGTCATCTGGTTTAAGCATAGCAGAATCAAAATACACATGAAATAGACTTCAAGTTTATAAAAGCTTTCCACAATAAATAAAAGATTGCCCTGTATTTGTATAATGACATCCC